TGACCCGAATTGGTCGTGAACAGAAGCGTTCGTGACCCGAGGTACCACTGTACTAGTACTGGGTACAAATGGCTTTTCAAAATTCTCCACCATTCTTGGGGGAGAAATAAAGCAGGAGGATGGGCTGACTTTCTCCAACAGAAGGAGAAATTCTCCCATAGTTTCTCAAGGGCAGAAATCTTTCTCCGCAGTGACCAAAGTTCTGCTCCTAAAAAGCCCCATGGGAGAAATTTCCTCTCTCTTCCTTAGGAATCTCACTGAAGCATGAAGAGCCAGAAGACTGCTGACGCTAGTGAGATGACTGAATAAAAAGAGGACAGTTGGGCATACCCTCTTAGCTACTTTGCCACTGAGTAAGTGCCAAACGCTACAATTTCCTGAGAACTATTTCTCCTTTTTGAAAGAAGTTCAAAAGCAATTTACCACATTGAATGAAAGCTGGTAGGAAAACTCACAGTTACTCACACCCTGCTCACCTCCAGAGTGAATTACTGTAATGTGCTCTACATGGAGCTGCCCTTGAAGAGCATCTGGAAGCTTCAGCTGGTGCAGAATGCGGCTGTGTGGACAGTTATGTGTGCCCCTAGGATCGCACAAGTTGCACCTCTGCTCTGCCAGCTGCATTGGCTTCCAGTCTGCTTCCAGGTGCAATTCAAGGTGCTGATTTTGACCTTTAAAGCTCTACATGGTGTGGGACGAGGTTATTTCAGGGACCACCTCTTCCCAATTACATCTGCCTGTCCCATCAGCTGCAACAGGAGAGGTATGCTACAGGTCCTGTTTGCTGAGGAATTTCATCTGGTGGGACCCAGAAGATGTGTCTTTTCTGCTGTGGCTCCCACGCTCTGGAACATCATTGCCCCCTGAGGTGAGGTTGGCCTCATCCTTGTTAGCCTTCCAGAAAGCCCTTAAAACGTGGTTTTTCCAGCAATCTTGGAGATCCCATGGGGATCCTGCAAGGTGGTTCTATGACATTAGGTGATTGTTATTCTCCCACAATCTTGGCATTTTCATGTTTTATTTTGATATATGTTTAGTGTTTTAAGATTGGCTATATTGTTTTACTTGTTGCTGTGTTTGTACACCTCCCAGAGTCATGTCATATAACTCTAGATAACATCTGCCAAATAAATAAATAAATAAATAAAAACAGGCAGGAAAATTTCTCTACCCATGTAATGGTATGTGGGAATGACCTTGGGAGAACGGGCCCAGAGACGCTGCCTAGGGAGCAGTCAGATAAGAGACAGCTAAGCCCACAGCTGGACAATGAGCAGGACAAGAGGCTCAGAAGAGACCCTCCCTCAGTTCTCTGGCTGTAAAGGTGATGGCGGGAGAACTGTACTTTCAGACTTGCAAGATTCTGTTAATGTAGCCTTACAATAA